TGGATCCCTGGAGCTGGCATGGCTGAAGGAGAGACCAATTCTTAAAATGTGTCCTCTGATCATGGGTGTAGCTTCTGACATTTCTAGGAGACACAATTTCACAGTCAACTCCTGGTCTCTCTGGCTCTTACAATCTTTCTGCCTCCATCTTCAGCAATGATCCCTGAGTCTTGGGTACAAGGAACTGTATTATAGAGGTAGTGGTTGGGACTGAGTTCCACCGTTTTCCATTTTGTTTGCTGTAGTCTTCCATAATTATTTAGAACAGTGGTTCTCAACCTGTGGGCTCAAGCCCCTTTGTGGGTGACGAATACTTTCACAGGGGTCACCTCAGACCATTAGAAAGCATAGATATTTATATTACAAGTCATAATAGCAGCAAATTACAGTTATGAAGTAGCAACAAAAGTAATTTTATGGTTGGGGGTCACCACAACATGAGGAACTCCATTAAAGGGTCACAGCACTAGGACGGCTAAGAACCGCTGGTCTAGAGAATATTTTCTGACATTTATTTAAAACTGTACAAAAAAACATCAAGCTCAACTGAAAAAAAAAAACCCATTATGGTTTTGCTTCTGCAAATTGGAAAAGCATTCTATAGATGGCTGTAACATTTTTACTTATGTTTTAGAAGAGGATCTGAGAACCATACAAAACCCAAATTTCATGCTTCACTAGCCCTGTGAATCAAACATACAATAATGCGCGTCCTTACCAGCCTGCGGAATATCCTAGCGGTAAGAATGGCTCCAATCTCTACAGCTCAGCAGGGCTGAATCCCGTGACACTCGTGCGCCCGCGCACACCTTGAACACCACCCGCGGTGGTTAAATGAGGCCGTCGACTTTTGTTCTATTTGCTTTTTCAGCATGTCTTAAAAGCAATTACTATTCTATTACTGTTCACACAGGAGAAAATTTACCAGCTCGTAATTTAGAGGCAAGTGGAACAGACAGAGGAAAACGTTGCCACCTACTCCACTTTCCAAGAGGCAGCAAACAACAAACCTAAATGTTTCGAAGACATACATCCGCCACATCAAATGATACTCTGGGCATGTCTTCATGCCTATTCATGAGTGACTCATCAGTGAAAAGTAGGCAGAGAGGAGAAGAAAGATAGGAAAACAGAACAGGAAGAGGCAGGTCGGCTGGGTCTTTTAAACCCAAATTGTTATTTCTGTCCCAGTAAAACATCGAAATCCAAACGGAAGCTACTGGTCTCTGAGGAAAACTATCAAAGCAGAACCATAACTTAAGTAATTATATTCATTCAGAGAGCATAAGGAAAAACCTATAGATCTAACATTTACAAAAGCTGGCTGCAGTTTTACAGTCACTAAGAAATAAAACAATAAAACCATGTTTCATCAGTCCTATGGCCTATTACCATTGGCTCAGAGGGAAAGGCACGATACACAAGGGGTATATACGTTCAGGGTAGCCTTCCAGACCACACCTACAAGAAGCTTCTAGGGTTCTCCTGAGCTAGCCAACTAGGTCAGGGGAAAAGAAAGAGAGAAAATCAGGTCTGTTCTCAAGGTGTACTTGGTGTCTATTGGGAGGGGCTGCCCAGCATTGTAACCCCAAGTGTCTGTCTGGGTTATGGCTCCGGTAAGCAGCTTGCAGAAGGGAGAACATGTTAGTGCTTTGGAAAAGCAGCAGGACCACAGAATTCAATGCCATTTCTCTGTTTGCCCAGCACACAGATAGGTAACAGCATCCAGAATGAAATCCCAGCAAGGGATCTTTGACCCTTTCATCCACTGCTTTCTGCAAATGCCTTCCATGAAGTATCATTAGCTGACTCGGGTGCCACCTGACTCTCTCGGTTGGTTTTGTCTTCTGTCTTATCTTGTTAAGGTTAAAAGTTTTGGGTTTTTCTTGGCAAGTGCTATTTTTTTTTAAAACCTTTCAATTCAATTGATTTCCAAAGGTGAAACTATCTTCAGCTGAGAACATCCCTTTAAGCTTGGGAAAGCCTTGAAGAACAGACATCTGGTCGATAGTGCTATTGAAAATATGACCAGCTATAAAGTCCCATTTATCTGTTCTTGTGGCTTTTATTAAAGCAGCCCAAATCCTTTGCAAATAAGCTTTCCCAGAAAGCTCGATCAATGTAGACAGGGAAGCAGGATTACCAGTGATCCATCAGGGACAAAACCCACTGGTGCCCACTGAGAGGACCGGAGTAGCTGAGGTGTTCAAAAGCTGCAAAGACCCCGCTACCTCCTCCTCAGGAAGACTGCAGATGGATTCAGCTGTTCACACAGTGCAAACATTCCTTCCCTGGCATCAGGGCTCAGTTGAGAAGGGAAGCTGAAAATTAGTTAGTCGTACAGGAGGAACAAAAAAAAAAAAAAAGATGCTATCCCAGTTACCGGAGAGGAATAATTGAATGCAGATTGCCTGTTGCGTCTCTAATTTAATTTGGAGGCCTTTAATTTCTTACTTTCCTTCATTTGAAGCCAACGCTTGGTGAGCTAATTTGTACCTGTTTCATTTTCTTCCTTTTATCTTGCCTTTTTTTTTTCTCCCATCAGCTGTGGAGATCAGAGCTCTATGAACAAAAGATGGATCCTGCTTTGAGATGTTCTTTCCTTACATACTACGAATTACTTAAAAACAAACGTGTACGTTTGGTCAATAGAAAGGCCTGAGATACAGGCCTCAGCTCTGTAGCCTGTCTTCCTCTCTCCCCCAGGAGCTGTGGCGTTTGAGTAGTTTATGACTTTCCCTCTTTTCTCCAAGGGAACCGTGTCTAGACTGTAGTCCACCTTGAATCGTTAATTCCAGAAGGGGTGCAGAGTGGGTCACCCCATCAATAAAGCCAAAGACTTAAAGGCAAATTAACATCAAATTCTAGAAAATATACAAGAGCATGTATAAAGCCCACTAACCAAGCACATTGGGTGTCACGTTGAGATTGGAATAAGGAGAATAAAATATGCAGCACACATTAATAACAACACAAAGCCCAATCTGTAAGTATAGATAGCTGGGAGAAGGACTGGCATGCTGAGGACAGGTACTTGCCTTAAACTGCTGTCTGACAGGGCGGTTCTGAAGACTGAGTGTCCTGCATCTTACGGTGACAACGGACAATACACTGCCGTGTATTTTGTGTCTCTTCATAAAAAGTTACACACGGTTTGAAAATATTTATTAGTAGTAGGACACTACTTTCAACTGTACGAAATGTCAGTGCCTTCAAAGTCTCTCTTGCTTTATTTTTTTTAAAAAACTGTTTTCTTGTTGCCAATACAATTTTTTTTCTCCCAATTCTTTTCTTCCCAACTCCCTTCCTCAGGCCCATAGGGGGAAACAAATCACCAATTTCCTTCTGCTCTTTAATACCCTCCACACAAGCCTTCCTTTCATCAGGGGGAGTCTCAAAGGAGACTGTATCTGAATTGTCTCCCTGGCTACATGTGCCAACTCTCTACTCCTTTAACCCCTCGTGCCAACAGGCTGAACACTGGCATGAAGCAATTCTCCCTCCTTCCCGGTTCAGCCCCTCACATGTCAATTAGCAGCAATGTGCACTGTTTTTCTTAAACCAGACTACACGTCACACGTAAAGCGACTTCAGAGCTGGGCAAAAGAGACTTGGCTTAAAAATAAACAAGCATTTGGAGTTAAAAAGCCTTTGCTTCAAAACACAAGTCCTCCTTTTAGAAGAAGAGCAAAGAAACAACTCAACTTTAAAATAGAAGTCCAACTTTAAAACAATCGTTTGGTAACCCTAATCATGGGTAGAATAAAAGCCACGCTATACACCAGACCAAGCTTATTTCTCTGGGGAGATGTGAACAGCAAGTCCCATTGAATGAGAGACTAGAGAACAATTATTGCTTTTTTTGTTTAATCCACGGAGAGGGTAGAAACAGAGGGTGGCAAATAATTTTTAAGCAACTTGACATTAGGTGAAAGTGCGCAGGTGGGGGACATTTAGAGTATTTGATTGCTGGACACACAGTTGTTTTATGAATTTAGTATCCTGCTCACGAACGTCCAGTTTTCTGGGGTTAATGAAGGAGCTGGGAGGCAAGGGAGTCGTTAGGAGGCTGGATATTCAGGAATTTTAGGTGGAGATCTACAGTCCCACGAGGCAAAGAAATTAAGATTTTATTCAGCTATAACTAAGTGCTGAGGAGGGAGGGAGAGAGAGGGCGAAGGAAGGAGAACCATCAACTCTTTACAGACCTACAACATTATCACAGAACAGCCTCAAGAAAGGCCACCAGCTCTATCCCGTCGCTGCATGCCCGTGGCCTTCCAGGGAACACAAGCCACTTCAGCAGCAGGGGGCGGGGCGGGGCGGTGCTCAGGAACTCGAGGCAGCAATCTTTCCAAGCCAATAGTGGCTTGATAAATTCTGCTCAGAGAAAGGTCCAGCGGGCCATCCGGAGGATGCCTGGGGCAGGGGGTGGGGGTGGGGCCTTAAGGATCAGGCAGAATAATTCTAATTCATTTGCTAACGTCATAGGTAAGGACGGAAAGAAGACCCTTCCTCACACAAGTTGGTGTTTGCACCAAGTACCAATTTTGCACCGGGGGCTGGCTGTACTAAAAGAGAATGGTCCCTGAGCTGAGTTGTTAACTATCCTCTTTATCCTACACGTGTCTCCATTCAGAATCACCTGTAGGCACTGATCCGGCCTCCAAGAAAATCAAGCCGAGCTCCAGCTTTGGGCGTCATCCAATTGGGCAAATCACCTGTACTATTTACTGAGAACAACCCCCGACAGGGCAAGAAATCTGACCACACAAGTCCCCCACCAACACCCCTTCTCCACCTCCGGCAGCCAGCGGAGGAGGAGGCTCGGGACTGCCCATCTGCAGCTGCTCCACGCTGAGTCCAGGATGCGTGCACGGAGAGACTGAGAACTCAAAAGTGCCCAGGAAGCACAAAGGGCATGCAGCCCCTCGGAGCCCAACTGCCCCGTGACCCCTCACCCCCCCCACACACACCCCCAATCGGGGTCGGGCCACTACCTCCTGGAAGAGCTCCAGACTGTAGGTATTGTCATCGTCGGCGAAGAAGAGCACGCCGGGTTGCGCGCTCTGATGCTGGTGTCTCTGGCGCAGCCAGGCGAGGCCCGCGTTGCGCTGTTCGGTGGCGCGCGGCAGCCACGGTCGCTTGTAGCGCCGCGGCGTGGGCACATGCAGGTGCGTATTGGGCAGCCCGGCCCGTGCTAGGAAGCTGCTCACCAGCTCGCTGCGCGTCGCCCGGTCCTCCACCAGGATCCAGTGCAACTGCGCCACCTGGCGGAAGGTGTTGGCCAGGCGGGTGAGCTCGGCTTTCTGCACCGGGCGACTGTAAGTGGGTGTGATGGCATAGATGGTGGGCAAGCGCGGCTCCGGCTGCGGCTGAGGCCGAGACTCGTTCCGCTTCTCGGCAACATCACGCCCGGGACTGCTCCGCCGGAGCGGGACTCGGGAGCCTCCACAACCCAATGTATGGGGAGAGAAGTAGGGGCGAGAAGTGAGTTGGGGCGCGGGCCTGCGGGGGTCCACGTCCAACATGATGATGACGATCAGGATCCAGGGCAGGAGGATGAAGAAGCGGCTGCACAGCGCGGACTTCATGGTGCGCGCTCTCCAGCGTCTCGGACACCACCCCCGGCAAGGTCTAGGCTCCGGGTGGGGGACCTCTGTGTGCAGTTTGGACGGCGGCGGTGTCAGCTATCAAGGAGCAGCGGCAGGCGCGCTTCCCATCCGGCCCGGGGCGTTGCGGGGACCTGGGCGTTGCGGGATCGGCGCAGATGCACGAAAAGCTAGAACTCCAGGGGTTGCAGGAGGACGGGCTGGGGCCGTGGGTCACTCTGGATGAAGTCGGCGGGAATCTGGACGCAGTCCAGCCGCGCTCCGCAGGTCCCGGAGTTGAGCCGAGTGCGAACCAGGCAGCGGTCCCTGCTGCGCTCTTTTCCGGAGTGCAAGCCTGGAACCCACCAGCCGTTGTGTTTTGCCGCTCCTGTCCCGCGTCTCTGCGGGCTAAGAGGATCTGGCTGCCGGCCTGGGCGACCGCTCTGGGACCCTTTTGAAGGCGGCCACCGATGATGCTGAGGGCTTTCTTCCGTCACATGTCGGCCGGTGCAGCTGCGATCCCGGGTGGATACCGAGGATGCTGCACCCCTAAGCTTCCTCCCGTTCGAGCGCCGCGGCAGAAACCTGCTCTCCCGTCGCTCTCTTCTTCTCAGAACCTCTCCCGGCTCCAGACAGCAAGAACCCAAAGCAGGGAAAGAAAGAAAAAGAGAGGGGGCGGGGGCGCTGCAGACTCCGGCGTCCTCCTAGTGCTCCGGTGGGAAGATAGCAGCGCTGCTACTGGCGGAGAGGGGCTGCGGGGCGGAGGCGGGAAGGGCCAAGGCTCTCTGCGGGGTCTGAGCCCCGTAGCACCAGGCGCTGCCTGCAGGCAGAAGCAGAGGGAGGGAGGATGATCCCTGCCGGGTTGTTCGACCTCTGCCTGTGGGGGATGCTGTTTTCAGATCGCCATAGGGTTCAGCTCTCTGAACTGCAGCAGGGTCTTTGGAGATGAGCCAGGGAAACCCATTCACGTGCGGACAAGTCCGGAGATCTAAAGAGGGCAGGAGGAGAAAGAAGGAGAGGGCAAAGCGGTCCTTTCCTGGCTCCCAGCTTGGGGGTTGGTGTACAGAGCCTCAGCGAGGAGAACCACTTTCTCTTGAAAGGCAGAAATCAATAGTAGCCCACGGAGATGGAGGGGTGCCACACATAGGTGTCTGGCATGCGTGCCAGCCCATTCCAGTGAATCAATTCCAGCTGCTCGGCCACAGTTGGATCTGTGGGGGAGACATTTTGACAACTCTGGTCGAGTATGTTTAACTTGTTTTTGTTCATGTTGGAGCCTTCCCAGTTTGCAGGCACAGGAATTATCCCTCGTGACTGTCCCTGTAATTCTTTCAAGGAGGCCTTGGAAGTGGAATCACCTTCATTTTCTGGATGAAGGAGCTGAAGATGGAGACTTAAGGGAATCTCCTGAGGTCGGTGGTAACTCACTTAGTAGAAATAGAACAAGGTAGGCGTCCTGGGTCGAACCCACTGCCTCTTCAGTGCGCACGGCCTGGCTGGTCTTCCTAGATGATGCCATCAAATCAAGTGGGTCAGAGGATGACAAGCAGAGCCACGGAAGTACCTAGAAGACACTCTCATGTGTAGAGAATGTATCAGTCGAACCTCAGGCTGTTTTTATCAAGGGGCCATGCTGCTAGGCACATTCCAGGGAGTGTCAGGAAAGTCCCCCAACCCCCCTCCAATAAATCATTTCTGATCCTGTGTTCCTCCACAATCTGACATTCTCTGTCTTATGAAAACCATTGACTATGTTCCTGAGGAGCAAGCAGGACGCTAGGCCAGGTCCTCCACCTCCACACAGCTCTGCCCATCACCTTGGGTCCAGTGTCTGGTACTGAATAGCTGTGATTTTTCAGAACTACTCTCTTATATTGTGGGGTAGTCACCAGAGAAGACTGCTCTGACATGGGTCTAAGCAAATATAAAGCATTTATTAGCCGGCTGGTGACTACACTGGGTGTTTGGAATCCCAACATAGCACTGAGGCTTTCTCAAAAAACCAAAGCACAAAAAAAACCAAAACCACAACAACAACAAAACCCCAAACCAAACCAAAACACCAAAACTCTACTTGTTTTGGGTTGACGTACTTCAGTTAATGGGAACAGTCAGCTAGAATTGGAACTATCAAAGCAAAAATGCAAGGTTAGTATATTTTGAGACTTCTCTGGACTATATGGACTTTGATGGATTCGGCCTTTGTTTTTGTTTTGGCAGGTGGTGCTATCTACATGCTGAGTTTTGTACCCTGAATGGTGCTTCCACCACCAGTCAGTTGTGTTAGGTCTAGGTGCCTACTAGGGAGGGGCCTTGTTATGTTTAGATGCGGAAATCTAAGAGTGAGTTCTCAAACGTTCTCCCTTTCCCCACAATCTAAGTAAGTCCTAGCTTTCAGTCCCACCTTTCCTGTGTCACCCAGGGCCCAAAGCCGAGTCCAAGATCCCAGAACAATGATCCCATTAGACTCCCCTGCTGAATTCTACCTCAGGGCATGATGTCTGTGCCAGCATCCCAAGGGAAAGAGACGTGAGTGAAACCAGTATAAGCTTCTCTTAAATTCAAGACGGCAACACACACAAAGGTGTCCAATTCCTTTCCCTTTCCAAAGTTGTTGCTGATTCTTCCAAACTCTGTTGGACATCTCAAATTTGATTGAAGAGAGGTACCTAGAACTATTGGAGGTGAAACTCAGTGGAACCTCTTCATTAGTCTCACTACACTGTAAAACTGTTCTGAATTGTGTTTTTCCCAGGAATGGGACTAGTCAGAGGCAGGATACTTTGACCACCAAACATGGAAATCTAACTTGAGATGTTAGCTAGCATACAGGATCATTGACCTCAAACAACGCCCAAGACATATTCAAGGACCATTGACACTGTGATGAAACACTGTCATCAAAAAGCAAACTGGAGAGAAAAGAGTTCATTGGGCTTGTACTTTCATATTGTAGTCCATCATTGAAGGAAGCGGGGGTGGGGGTTGGGGGAGGGAGAAACTCAGTCAGGCAGGAACCTGGAGGCAGGAGCTGATGCAGAGCCCAAGGAAGGGTGCTTACTGGCTTGCTAAGCCTGCTTTCCTGTAGACCCCACAGATGGTACCACCCACAATGTGAAGTTGCCCTCCTCCTACCAGTGACTAAATAAGAAAATGTCCTACAGGTTTGCCTGCAGTCGGATCTCATAGAGACATTTTCTTGAGCTTCCCTCGTCTCAAATAACTTTAACTTGTCAAGTTGGCATAAAACTATTCAGTACAGTCCCTACCTTGTCCCCAGGTTTATCTCCTCCCTTGGGGATTCTTAGTTCCTGGGTTTGGTTACCAGTCACACCACTTTCTACTTTTATAAACTGAGTCAGGGAGCCTCTGAAAGTCTGTGAATAGTTTTTAAAAATTATTTAGCATTCTACAGTGTTTTGAATGAGAAAGCCTCTTCTAGGTTCATCTGTTTAAACATAGGAGGTGTAGCCTTGCTGGAACGTCGGAGTCCTGGGAAGGGGCTTTGAGAGGAAACATTTAGTTTGCTTTCTCTGCTTGGTTGTCTGTTGAGATGTGAGAGCTTCCTGCTCAGAACACCCCCCTCTGCCCCCCTCCTCCTCGCATCCCACCCACAACCTCCGGGAATATAATTCCAACATTCTCTTCTATAAGTCTCTTTGGTCAGGGTGTTTTCTTATCCGGACAGAAGCCAGTTATACATATACAAAGTAATGGGTTTCCTCTTGTCTTCTTTATACACATTGTTATACATTGTTATGTTTTCTTCTCATTGACTCCTCTCCCTTGCCGCACCCCTCTCCCACTCTCAGGTGTCCTCTCTACTCAGTTTTCTTATCTGAAAAATGGGGTAGTAATATATAGTATACTCCATGGGATTTTGAAAAGATTAAAAAGGGTAAGTTAGACATCCTCAAGGGAGGGGATAAAAGTGGGCACAAGGTAGTTTTCTAGAAAAATTGGCATCACCAAGGAAATCTCTGTGAGTCATAATTGTCATGAATATAAAATGAAAGGTGTTTTCTGAGCAAAACTGGCTATAGTTGGTCCCATATGTAGGGAAGCGATCCCAGGTGGTGTGGTCTGGTCTCTTCCTAAGTTGGTATAGGGAGACGTGGAAAAGAGAAATCGGTTTACCCCAAATAAAGCCTATGCAGTAAAGATGGCATGATTCTAAGTGACATTTATTTCAAATGTCTAAATGTGCTGTACTTACTGTTTTACATTCAGTGACTCAAACTGTAGCCCCAGATCATTCATGATCAAATCTAAGTGAAGATGCAAAGTTATCAAGAATGTCCATCAGATGTCAGAAGTTTGCTAACAGTATTTTTTAAGTTTATGGCCGACAAAATTCCCAAAGCCTCTAACAGTTAACCCAAGATGGTTTCAGAAGATGGACATCGGACTCCTAGAAGATACAGCCTAGATTGTATGTGATGATATAGTCACTAACAAACGCAGTGAGCTAAACTGGATGCCCTGAGTCAAATGACTTGGCTAAACCAAGGTAAGTCATTTCTCATGTCATGCGTATCCATTCCACAGAAAAAAAGCCCTGCGTTTTCTGAGCTTGGAAGCCAAACTGACTTCACCCAAGAGACTATGGAAACCATGGGAACTGTTGGCTAGTAGACTCTGTCATTTTTTAAAAAATAATATATAACTGGTAGATTGTTGTTTACTCTTTATCAGACTTCTGACTACATTGACAGCTAAGCTTTCACAGACATTATCTGTTACTTCATTACCTAAACTCAGTTGCCATCAGTTAAATGCTCCATATTTCCTCCTCTTACTATCCCACTGTCCTGAATTATCTGAGTTCCTATAAACTTGCTTAACTCTAAAATATTCCACTATACAATCCAACAAAAGTTCATCTTAGAGACTGCTTGTGTTGTTAATTCATGCTGTTATCTGTTTTGTAAACTTATAAGCTACAGGAAACCCACTCAGATCTACCTCTCATGGACCAAATAGATGCCATCCAGATGAGTAAAGGTCCCATTCACTACCTATAACAAAGGGTGGGATCCCTCTGGGCTTCAATTGTACATCTTAGAAAAAATTTCTTTCTCCAAGTGTTCTTAATCTCATTTCCTACATCTTGTCAAGTCCAGGTGCATCCAGAACAGCTCCAGAGAAGCAACCTCCAGAGGCTCCATCTCCTGTCATGCACACAGCTGCTTCTACTGGACCTATTCCTTCTGACCTATTCTCAGATGGCTCGCTCCATAGACCCTGGACAGCAGGAAACAGCCAGCTCTCCTAAGACTGGCTTTCCTAACAACCCCATACCCATTCTTCTAGGTTCCCCCTAAAGACACGTCGCCCCCAATGCCAGCAGGAAGTAGCCAGATTTCACGACGACCCTATTCCTGCTTTGCCGTCACCTCTTTCTAATTTTTCTTTTTAATTAAACCAAAAAGTGGGAATGTTAGTATTCTGTCTAAACTCCACCTCCACAGTTATCTGGCAACACCCAGGTATACTCCTCCCCACAGTTACCTGGCAACAGCCAGGTAGGCATGCCCACTATAAAAGGGGCTGCTTGCCTCCTCCTCTCTCTCTTACTCTCTTGCCTCTAGCTTCTCCTCGCCCTTCCTCCCTTCCCTTCCCCCTCTCTCCACGTGGTCAT